TTGTTATTTTATTTTATTATATGAGCTTATAACAGTGTGGAATGACTGAGTTTTTCTTCAAAAATGAATAACAGGTTATGCTATTAGGCCACAGTGACTCCTATAAAAGAGATAAGCGGATGCAAGTGACCATTGCCTATAACCATTTTGGTGAAGGTCTTATCCAGAGAATGCCCAGGTAACTGACCATCAATATATATCCCTTGTGCGGTTTCCTCGTATGATTTATAGAATGATCTTAACGAGGTCAATTCATAAACCTTGCAGATGCAGGCATGGGTATTTCCACGTAGTGAACAATGACTACACGCACTGGGAAATGTATGCCATTGGAGGAAGTGCTAATCCCACGATTAATAGCCAGGGCAACACATATCTTGCCCCTGCCAACGCTTTTGCCAAAGAGGTATACTAAATGAACATGCAATCTCTTGTGATAGCGATGATCATGTGATGATTGCAGTCATGAGAACAAAATTTATACTGGCAGGTGACAAAGAGGGTAGACACGGAAACTGGAGTATGGAGGCATTGGAATTGGAGATCAGAAGGCGACCTCCTGCTAAACGGAGCCTACTTCATTCCATCAGGAGCTGGAGCTGCAGCCAGCTATGCCAGGGCCTCAAGCTTAGGGGCCAAGTCCTCATCGATGGTCGGGGACATCACTTCAACTGCTGGAGCCCTAGTCTGCCGCAGGGGTCGCCGATGTTAATTCCCAATCCCATCAATAGTTTAAAAAAACAAAAAAGATGAGTACAAAAAAAACATTCAAAATTTTTCATTTTCCTCCCCCTGTTATTGTTATAATAGCAGTATCCAGTAAGATTGCAGCTACTCTGTTTACAATATCCCCTTCTCTGTATTTCTACACGATGCCCTGCCCACCAAATACCTGGCAAGTGTACATTTATACTACATGCGCCATACTGCTGTCACACCACCATGCAATATTCCACCTGTAACCTTCGCCACCGATCGACCTCGGCCTGCTTTAAATGCTGCAGTGTTGTTCCACATCTCTATTCCTCGTAGAGTATAGTCCATTTGCTTCTTCTCTACTGTATAATTCAATTCTCTATTGGATCGGCATGTCACAGATATTGTTTAATTTGCTAGCCCCAAGGTTCTTTTCTCTAATCATTTGGTCCTGTTACCTCATTTCCACGCTATTTTTAAAGTATTTTTAAGGGAAAAAACGAAAAAAAAAAACCCAAAAAAATTATGTTATTGATGTATTTGTGTTGCTTCTAGTATTTTCAGCCTTTCTCAAAAAAATTTAATTTTAAATATTTTTTTAATACCTTTGGTTTTTAACATATTATTTTTAAAATTATTAATTTTTCTTATTAAATCAATAATAATATTATTTAAAAAAAAACAAATATTTAATCAAATAAATAAAATAAAGAAATAAAACCAACATACTAACACTACACAACTCTATCTTCACTGATCATAATCACCACGCCAACAAAACAACCACAGCTTTTATCCCTATTCTCTTAACCCAATCATCACGCCACCATCACAATAACCCAAGCTCCATTGTAACACATCCCATAACAGCCCCATCAAACAACCAACCATGGCCCATCATCTCCTTCTAACATCATAACTATTAAAGGAAAGAATTCCAAGTAATTAGGTGATATATTGTAATTAATGGAATTGAACAATTTACCAAAGTTAATCATGTAATAGCTCCTAGAATGGTGGATCGGATTATATGTAAACTACATATATATGTTGTGTATCTTTGCAATAGTCAATACAAAATATACAGAAAACATTCACATCATCATTCTGTTTATGATATCAGAGCTCTGGTTTTGAGATCCTAGAAATCCATACAGCCAAATACTTCATACCTGGTGACGAAGATCAAAAGCTTCTTGAGCAAAACCTCGAACTCTTTGAAGACCTCAAAACCATAAGAGAACTCCAATTATCCACTTTTTATCCATCACTCAGATCAACTAAGCGTTGTCCTCATTTCACAATCGCTGATGGAAGACAATTACACAACATGGGTGTAGTCAATGAGCATGGCACTTACTATAAAAAACAATAAGGGCTTTATAGATGGAACCCTTAAAAGACTAACTTACAATTGTAATGAGTAACAACAATAGGACCGTTGTGACATTCTTATCAAAATCTGGTTACTAGGAGTCATGCCGAAGGACATTTTAGACAGTGTCATCCATTGCAAGGATGCAAGGTATATGGCTAAAGATAAAAGAGAGATTTTCTCAAACTAACACAGTTTCATTGTTCTATATAGAAAATGATATTTATGACTATGAACAAAGTGCAAACTCAATCATGTCCTTTTTCACGAAGCTCAAAAGCTTGTAGGATGAGAAGGATGCCCTATTTGTGTTTCTTCTTTGCAATTATGAGGCAATTACCAAGGTTAAAACTTTTATGGAAACAATAAAGACTATGAAGTTCCTGATGGGGTTTAATGAAAGCTATGCACAGACCCGAAGCAACATGATAGGCATGGATCCTCTTCCGAACCTGAACAAAGCCTATACAATGGTGTTACATCATGAGAAATAGGTAGGGGTCTTTGCTAGAAAGTCAACAACACCACCAAAAGCATTTGCTTTTGTAGTAAAGAAAGTGACCAATGATTTTAACCTTATTGGGGAGAAGCCAAATTTTGTGAAAAATGCAATATGAATAATCACAACACAAAAAACTGTAGAGCTCATCTCAAATGCATATATTGCAATGGGAAAGGACATACCTATGATTATTGTCGAATGAGGAAGAACGATATTGAAAGTGGACAAATAAGATCAAAAGCAAATCAAATAACCCCTCAAAATAACAGTAAGGAAGCTTTGACTGATTCTTCTTTTTCACAAGAAGAATGTCATTAACTTCTCAATTAGCTTTTAACAAAAATGAAGTCTACCTCAACCAACCTAGTTGATAATGTTCTAAATTATGAGAAACTCTCAGGTAAAGCATTTTAGCTTGCATAAAGTAGTAAAGAGACAACATGGATAATGGATAGTAGCACAAATGATCATATTATTTGTAACCTGATTTTACTTACCTCACTAAAATCAGTCCATAACCGTTAGGTTAAACTTTCTAATGGAACCTCAGCACATATTACTCATATTGGCATGGTAGCTTTCTCTCCCCAATTTGTTCTTCATAATGTTCTTCATGTCCCATTCTTTTATCTCAACTTGATTTATATGAGCAATCTAGCATTTGATTCATTTTATATGACTATCTTTCTCAGACAAATTTGTATCATACAGGACCTACAATTAAGGAAGATGATTAGGACAGGAACTGAGAAGAAGGGACTCTACTACCTTAAGCAATCAAAGAAAGGAACATGCAATGCAGTACACACCAACACAGATAACTTGTAGCATCAACAACTTGGTCACCTTTCAAATAAAACATCTTCATTATTTCCATTCCTTGTAAATAAATTTGGTATTTTAAGCATTTGCTCTATCTATCCTTTCGCCAAACTCACTAGACAACATTTTCTATTAAGCACTACACGTAATGCATCTTATTTTGATTTAATTCACATTCACATTTAGGGTGGTTATCATGTTCCATCTTTTTCTAGTGCATAATATTTTTTAACTATTGTTGATGACCATTCATGAAGCACATGAGTATATTTGATGAAACACAAATCTAAAGCACACATTCTACTCATTTATTTTATTCACTTGGTTGTGAATTAGTTTTGTAATAATGTTAAGGTCATAAAGAGTGATAATAGCCCAAAATTTAAAATTCTCTATTTTATTCATCTAAAGGCATTATCCACCAAACTAGCTACGTCAACACACCACAACAAAATGGTGTGGCTGGGTGTAAACATCGACATTTGCTAAATGTAGTTAAAGCTCTCTTTTTTCAAACAACTTTATAAAAATATTTTTGAAGGGCTATCATAGTCACTGCAGCTTACTTGATCAATAGAACACCAACTCCAATTCTTCAAGGAAAAATACCATTTGAAAAAAAAATTCATAAGGAACCAAGTTATTCTCAATTACAGGTTTTTGGTTGTCAATGCTTTGTGTCCACACATCTAATTCGTCCTAGCAAATTTGATCCTAAGTAACAAAGTGTATTTTTCTTGGCTACCCATATGGCAAAAAAAAGTATAATGTTTATAACTTGACAACTAAGAAAATTCTTATTTCAAGGGATGTGATTTTCTTTGAAGTGTGTTTCCTTTTAAAATAAATTCTAATTCTCATTATTTTCCCAATTCATCACATTTTGATTTCCCTCCAATTTAGGAAAGTGCAAAAAGGATTGGTTAAACCAGAGCATATACGGACCAAGTAGAAACCATCAAATATATTCACAAAGCCACTAAGTTCAAACTAGTTCTCCATATTACAGGGCAAGTTAGGAGTGATCAATATACACTGTAACTTGAGGGGGAGTATATATATCATGTATCTTTACAATATTCAATACAGAATATACAGAAAACATTCACATCATCATTCTGTTTAATTATAGGCACTTTTACCACCCAAAACAACCATTTCTTCATCTCCTTCTCATCATAGCGTTCATCCAAAAAAGATTTGAGCACTAAAACAACAGCCCTCTTTTCACCGGCAACACTAATCCTTTACCCAACCATTGACCCCAGCCCCTCAGTGTTGTGTGCTTCTTTCATTGTCAAGAGATTAACATCAACAAAAATAAAAGACATCAATAACTTAATCACTCAGTCCAACACATCACTAGTATCTAACAGCAGCAAGAAAGTAATCCAACACTGCCAACAACTGAAACCAGCAACCCTTTTTCCTTTTGATCAACTTGTTAGCTTTTCACAACGACAAAGGCAAGAATACACAACCTCACTGCAAAAGAAACTAGTAAAGAAAGAGAGCTAAAAGAAGAAGAAAGAGAAGGTTGAGGCTTAATGTGCCTCGATCTCCTTCTTTAAAGAGCATGGAGGAACACAGCCGACAAGGGATTGGAAAGGTGAAAGAGTTGTTTTAAATCCTATAAATTTTTCCCTTCAATCGATGATGGCGCATGGATCCACGCTCTGCTAGTGGTAGTGAAAATTTTTTTATATTAATTGAATTGGCTCTCTTAAAAAAAACAACAAAAAAATCTTTCTTTTCAAATACAATTTTTATTTTAATTTTCATAAGACCAAATCTTTTAAAAATAAAAAAGTTATATTATATTTTCATATAAAAATTCAAAAATATATATATTTGTATATATTTTGAGATTTAATAATCAGTTTATTAAAGATTCAAGAATTTAGCCTATAGTTTAAAAAATATTAAAAATGATTTTGTTTTTTGTTAGTATATGAGATTATGAACTTATACATAATACAGATTCTTGATATTAAATAAAAATTATTTTTATTTATTTTTTATGTTGGCATTAGAATGGTTAGAATTTTAATCTAACAAGATAAGGATCTTCTTATTGATAAAGTTTTTTCTTAAACCTTAAACAGATCAATGATTAGAAATACAACAATACCTTAACTTATATCAGACAAATAAACAATATAATTTAGTTTAGATAAGGTGTATTGGAAGTGTTAATACATTTTCATTACACAATCAGTTTTTTTTTCTTAGATTATAAGATCAGTTAAGATTCCTAGTGATCAAAATAACAGGTAATAACTTCTATTTTTTTTTCTCTACTAATAAAGAACAAGAATTTCTTATCCTTTCTACTCATACTATTTTTTATCTATAAAGATGATCATCATGACATCATACACACACACACACGTGTGTGTGTGTGTGTGTGAGTGTGTGTGTGTGTGTGTGTGTGTGTATTATGACATATATGATGGCACACAAAGCAACGATGCATCTAGCTTTTTCACTTTTTGAGCCTTTTACCTTTTCGAGTATAGGAGATCCGGACAATAGTTAAAGCTAGAAATCCAATGGTTTTTTTCACTCTCGTCTAGTATGGCTGTGAAAAACTTAATTATTGATTGGTTGATTCATAATTAAGGTTAGGTTAATGACAACGGGTTGAGATCTAGTAACATGATCTATTTTATCTATCAAATTCTAATTTTTGAATGGTTCTTGATTTTTGTTTCTATTTTAAATTAAAGCATACCTTATAAA